TATTCATATACTCATTCAGAACTTGATGGCAGCAACGCAGCTTGAGAACGTTGTGACAGGGCCACGTCTACCGTTGTGTAGCCTCCCCTCTTCTTTTAACAGCAGTCTGTAAACGTCTGGGAAGTGAGGAGAGCCATTGCTGGAGTTCTGGGAGAGGAATGTTGTCCCATTCTTGTCTGATGTAGGACTCTAGCTGCTCAGTCCTGGGTCTTTGGGTCTTCTTTATGGAGTTAGTTTTGTGTCAAAATGTTTGAGAGAAGGTCCTGATGTTTGAGAGAGGAATGTCACGGTTTGAGAGGACAGCTATCCTGGGTCTTTAGGTCTTCTTTGCTGGATTTTTCGTTTCATGATGCACTGAATGTTTTCTATTGGTGAAGGTCTGGACTGCAGGCCGGCCAGTTCAGCACCCGGACTCTTTTTCTGCAAAGCCATGCTGTTGTGATGGATGCAGTATGTGGTTTATTGTCTTGCTGAAATATGCAAGGCCTTCCCTGAAAGAGACGAAAAGAAGAGAAAAAAGAATTAGAAATTTTGATTCATCTGACCTCAGAACAGTTTTCAATTTTGCCTCAGTCCATTTTAAATGAGCTTTGGCCCAGAGAAGACGGCGGCATTTCCGGATCATGTTGACATGTGGCTTCTTCTTTGCATGACACAGCTTTAACTTGCATTTGTGGATTACACAAAAACAGGGATTTTTACAGATTGTCTAAATCTGTTGATGATATTATGTACTGTATATGATGGGATGTCCAAAGTCTTCGCAATTTTACATTGAGGAACATTTTTCTGAAATTGTTCCACAATTTTTAGACGCAGTTTTTCTCAGATTGGTGAACTTCTGCCCATCTTTGCTTCTGAGAGACTCTGCCTCTCTAAAATGCCCTTTTATATTCAGTCATGTGAGTTAGTGGCAAATTGCTCCTTCAGCTGATTTTTATTAGTACCACTTACAGCCTTTTGTTGTCTCTGTGCCAACTTTTTTGAGATGCGTTGCTGCCATCAAGTCCTAAATGAGTTAATGTTTTTCCTGATATGGTAAAATGTCTCACTTTCAATTTCAGATTTTAGAGCTTCATTACTCACCGCTTCATATAACTTTATACAGTCATTTCAGACTAATCAGATTTTAGAGCTTCATCACTCACCACTTCATTTGACTTTATACAGTCATTTCAACTAATCAGATTTTAAAGTTTAATTACTAACCGCTTCGTTTAACTTTTTACAGTCATTGATTTAAGACTAATTAGACTGTAGAGCTTCATCACTCACTGCTTCATTTAACTTTATACAGTCAGTCATTTCAGACTAATCTAATTTTAGAGCTTCATCACTCACCGCTTCATTTCACCTTCATTGAAGGACCAGCTGATACAGACACTGAAAAAAAGAAAAAGAAAAAGAAAAAGGATATAAAGGAAACAGTACATATAAAAAACAGGACAACAGCACCATCTGCTGGAGTAAACAGAACAAACTGTTTGTACTCAGCAGATCACATTTCAGGAGCTTCACTGTCTATTTGAGTTCTGAAATGTTAAAAATCTACTTTACAAACTAAACATTAAGATAAAGTCTTGAACAAGATGATAAAGGAGTGTCAGTTCAGTTCTTACCAGTAGTGACTGTAGAGATCAGGATCAGGATACAGAGAGCAGAACTGCAGGACTGCATGACTGACCTACAGACAGACACATACACCATCAGTACTGACCAGGAGAGGAGAGAGAGAAGAGAGGAAGAGAGAACAGAACTGACCTACAGACACACACACACCATCAGTACTGACCAGGAGAGGAGAGAGAGAAGAGAGGAAGAGAGAACAGAACTGACCTACAGACACACCATCAGTACTGACCAGGAGAGGAGAGATATAGTGCTGTGCAAAACTCAGTGACCACCCTTTATTTCAGTTCTAGTCAAAACAGCCATAAAGTATGTTACTGATTTTCCAGGAGGAGATTAAATTAAAGAGTCCACTTAAATAATAAAAGAGAAAGTGAAAGGAAAATAAGTGACCAAATTGGAGTTCAACAAATCTACAGAGAAAATGTGCTTCCTAACAACCACCTGGAAGAGCTGCTAGACCCCCAAACTGCCCCCATCAGATAAACAGCCCTTAAGGCTTTCATCTTTGAGAGAGAGGAGAAAATCAAGCTGCTTCAGATCTGAAAACATCCACAGGTGTTTCTGTCCATCCTTCCACTGTGAGAAGACGACTCAGCGCTGTGGGTCTGAAAGGATGTATAGCTGTTCAAGAAGAGCCTCACTGAGAAAAGGAGACGGACACATCAAACAAAGAAGCTGAACAATGGACTGACCACCCCAGAGTCCAGACCTCAACATTACTAAATGTTAGGGGTGCGGAAAAAAATCGTTTCTTAGATGCATCGCGATGCAGATGCGAACAATTCTGAAACGATTGACAAATGTCAAAAATCAATTTTCTAAATATTTAATTTATAACGTAACGTTGACGGAACGCAAAAGACAGAACTTGGAAGTGCGGACGTGCAGCGCCCGGACAGTCTGTGGCAGCACATAACAAAAACACAACTGGATGAGCGAGAAATCACAACACAAATGATAAGAAGAGACTTTTTGTCTTTTCAACAAAAATCAAACCACCTTGAGAGCCGCAACATTCAATGTCCAGTATGTCTCAGTGTGTGTTAATGTCCTAGTTTAGGCTAAACAATATAAACGAAAACGCGGACTTACTTTGCTCTGCTTTAACCTTCAGCTATAGCCGCTTTCCTCCCATCTCCAGCAGAAAACCTTTCCTCAGAAGTTGATCAGTTAAATGTCTCTCAACGTTCGGCTGTTTTATGAGGCTGAAGTCGCTTCTTATTCTCCAGCTTCTTGTTCGAATTTTCCCGTTCCACCTTAAATTCTGACTGAGACGCCGAATGTAAATACGGCACCATTTAAGGTGAAACAAGAAGCGACTTCATCTTCGCAACTTTTTGTGTTTGACAGTCTCTCGTTGCAGATTTAACTTGCCAGGAATCAACTGCTTATAAATGCGAATAATGCATCGCTGCTGTGTGACCTGCAGTCTGCATGCCGGTTCTCAGTCATTGAGAAACAGGGCTTTCGCGCTATGTTGCACACGACCCGTCTCGAAGATACTTTACTGACACAGCGACCCCCCCCTCCCCTGTCTCTGCAATGAGACCAAAACCGAAGTTATAAAATCACTGAATTAAATGGGTAGGACGGCTGTAACGCTGCCTGGACACCCAATGCCACTGGATCTTATTTCACTGTAACTGCGCATTTTATTGCAGATGAGTGGCAGCAGCGTCTGATGTGCTCTGAACAACAGCAGTGAGTGAGGTTGCATCTTTTTAACAAAACAAATTGAAGTGATGTGGCAAGTGAACTAGAAGGCATTTTTTTTTCTTTGCCACATCACTTCCATTTGTTTTATTAAAAAAGATATTGGAAGTAAATTCACTATGGATCATTACAAATACTTTGCTGTAAAAGTACCAAGTCCTCAGACAGCAGGAAAATAGAAATCCTGTATAGAAGAAAAGACGCATCGAGAATCGTCTTATAATCGCATCGCAGCCACTGAATCGTAATCAAATCGAATCGTGAGGTGCCTAAAGATTCTCATCCTTACTGAATGTGTTTGATTACTTCAGAAAATGATCAACCAGCTTCTAAGACTGAACTTTGGAGGTGTGTCTGCAGATTCTTTGAGGAACTGAAAGTGAATCTCCTGAACAGAATGGAAGCTGGAATGAAGGGAAAGAGGGACTCACTGAACACAGCACTGAATTTGAATCAATCAGCTCAGAGCTCAGCTGGACAGCAGAGAGTCCACAAACTGCAGCAGCTCTCTGAGTTCATAGAGACTAATGAGTATCAGTGAGTGTGCTGGAGATTTACTCCACTATATTCACTGATACAGTAAATCTGTACAGTGGAAATGCTGAAATATTACAGATGTTACTCAGACTGGTGGGTTTGCTCCTCCTGACAGCGGAAGGCTTTTTCTGTAGACTTCCTGTCTGTACAGAGGAAGTGGCTGCAGAACCGACTGCGCTGCTTGTGGTTTTTAAGAGGAAGTGTGCTGTGATGCAGCCAATCAACAGCCTGCTAATCTCAGGATTTCTCTTTAATACAGAAGCTCATCACTCTGTTCCAGCACACATTTAATAAAACTGTTGTATCAATCACAATAAATTACATTAATTCTGTCTGTCAATCAGCTGATGATGTTAAATAAACCACTCAGTCTTTCTGAAACAGCCATTTAACAAAAGAGCTTCAGATCAGCCATAAACTCCAAACAGAGACAGAAACAGAGAATCTCCAAACACACTTCAGCTCTCAGCTCTGAGTTGTACTCACCGCTCTCTCTCTCTCTCTCTCTCTCTCTCTCTCTCTCTCTCTCTCTCTCTCTCTCTCTCTCTCTGCTGGAGTTTCTGCAGGGAAATCAATCCTGTTTATTATCATAATATCAGAAATATGACAGAATCGTACAGCTGATGTGCTGATCACTTCCTCCTGCACTGATGCGCTTTCGTTTTGATCCTCAGTAAACTGGGACAGGGGGCGGGGCTTAAGAACAGGTGGTTTTATTCTGTGGGGTTTTGACTCAGTTTCTGATCTGATGCTGCTTTAGTCTCCGAGGAGGAGGAGCTCGCTCACCCAGCGTAACGGTTCCTGTGGGAGATAAACAGAAATCTGAGGATGTGAAATGGAGCTGCAGCTGATCAGTTTAGGCCTGTTTTAGTGGAGTAGAAATGAACTGTGGGTAAACTGTACATGTGTAAAATTCACTTTAGCATCATCATTTATATTCATACTGTTTACCTGCTCACTTTCTGTCATCTGACTGTTTACATGATGGAAATAACGTTGATGTCAAATTATGGTCATGCTGGTTGACCAGCATACCAGCATCCTAAACACAACATCTGCTGGTTTTGCAGGTGACCAGCCAGTTGTGTCGTGTTGAGTTTATCATATTTTTGATTTTTTTCCACCTCCTAACTTCCCTGATCCTCTAAATGGGCTCTGATTGGCTCCTCATTACCTGCTGAACAGGTGTGAAGCATTATTACTCACCTACACATCACTCAGGCTTCTATGGGACGACAGCTGAGGCAGATACGACATACAAACACAGTTTGTTATTGTGGATACAGTCATAAAGGGGTAATTACACTGTCATTAGCTTAGCTCTGGTTTACAGTTTAACCTGGGTTTAAACGTGAATGAGTCAGATGGGTTCTTAAACTCCACTGCTGTGTCCTCAAAAGCTGCAGTTTAAAGCTCACCTGCATCTTAAACTAAACCTGATTGCTTTTCATTTAAAAACCACACATCTGTCACTAGATGGTGCTGTTGATCAGGTTTAACTGAGGTCTGTCTGAAACCTGATAAAGACACGGTTTAACTGAGGCTTAAGGTGAGATTATTGTAATTGAAGCGCATTTTCAGCTCAGATATGACAATATTTCATAACCATAGGCCTACATACCTTCTGTCATAATGTTTTGTGGACATGAAACAGCACACACCTGACCATGGAACAGCTAAAGAGCCAACTGTCCAATTACTTTTGAGCCCCTACAAATGAGAGACGCTGAATAAAATGGCTGTAATTCCCACAACATTCACCTTGATTTGGATGTAAATATCCTCAACATAAAGCTGAAAGTCTGCGCTTTGAACTCATGTTCATTATTTAATTTCAGCTCCAGCTGTGCTGGGCAGCCAACATAATGACTTTGTCAGCGTCCAAATATTTATGGGTCTAACTGTATATGATGAGATTTCATTATATATTGACTGATAAACTATATAGCAAAATATGTTCTTACTATGCAGTATTTTGTTCTAGTCAGGCTCATGATGTAATTTGACAGCACATCTGGATGAGCAGTGGATCAGAGAGACTCCTGCATGGAAAGAGCAGTCAAGTTTAGTTTAACACACAGCTGAGTATTAAACCCCTGAAGTTACCGGTTTAACCAAACCTGTGTTAAACTGAGACTAAACTGCTGCTAAGCTAATGGCAGAGCAATCAGAGCAACAGCACCACCATGTCTCTAATGTCGATCTGTCACAGGTTTGGCATGGCGCCATCTGCTGGGTGAGCTGGACAGAGTGGAAAAGTAAGGTCAGTGTATTTCAGTTTGGACTCTGAGTTACATCAAAACAGCAGATGATATTATGGAACATCTCAGATCTTCATCCAGACTTTTTAATTCATTTTTGTAATCAACACCTGATTCTGTTTGTCACGCATTCGGCAAGATGTCAAAGGAAAACGGATTCCATCTCCCAGAATCCCACGGGAGATCACGTCACTGCACAACTTCCTTCAGAGATGGAGGAAGACACGGACTCCATTACCCAGAGTTCTAGGGGAACTCACGTGATCTCTGACTCACAGACGCGCTCCTATCAGAGATCTCTATCCCCTGAATACTAATGTGTAGCACCTGTGTATTTAGTCATATAGGTTGGCTTTCAAGGCTTTCGAGTCAAGGGACAAAGCAAGCCTCAGGATAGCAAGAGCCAAGCTTTCCCGGGAAAGAGGCTAAGCGTGCCTACTCAAAGAAAATCCACAATCACTTTCAAAACACTGCTGACACACGGCGCATGTGGCAGGGCATCCAGGCCATCACCAACTACAAGCCACCTCCACCTGCTTGTGACAGTGATGTCTCCCTTCCAGACGCGCTGAACAACTTCTATGCTAGGTTTGAAACACAGAACGGAACGACGGCGAGGAAATCCACTCCTCCTCCAAGTGAACAGGTACTGTGTCTGTCCACAGCTGATGTGCGGAGAACTCTACACAGAGTCAATCCACGGAAAGCACCAGGATCCGACAGCATACCACCCCTCAGGGCTGTGTGTTCAGTCTGCTGCTGTTTACCCTGCTGACTCATGACTGTACAGCAAAGTACAGCTCAAATCACATCAAGTTTGCTGATGACACGACTGTGGTGGGTCTGATCAGCAAGAATGATGAGTCAGCGTACAGAGAGGAGGTGCAGCGGCTGACAGACTGGTGTGGAACCAACAACCTGTCTCTGAATGCGGACAAAGCTAAGGAGATGGTTGTCGACTTCCGAAGAGTGCGAGGTGACCACGCCCCACTGACCATCACTGGCTCTGCTGTGGAAATCGTCCAGAGCACCAAGTTCCTCAGTGTCCACATCACAGAGAACCTCACCTGGTCCCTCAACACCAACTCCATAGCCAAGAGAGCCCAGCAGTGCCTCTACTTCCTGCGGAGACTGAAGAAGGATCATCTCCCCCCTCCCATCCTCACCATGTTCTACAAGGGGACTGTGGAGAGCATCCTGAGCAGCTGCATCACCGCCTGGTGTGGGAATTGCACCACGTCTGACCGCAAGACCCTACAGCGCATAGTGAGGACAGCTGAGAGGATCATCAGGGTCTCTCTCCCCTCCATCATGGACATCTACACCACACGTTGTATCCGGAAAGCCACCAGCATCGTGAACGACCCCACCCATCCCTCACACAGACCTTTTTCACAGCTGCCGTCTGGCAGAAGGTACCGGAGCATCCGTGCCATCACTGCCAGACTCTGCAACAGCTTTGTCCCTCAAGCAATCAGGTTTTTAAATTCACTCACCCCTCTTTTGATGCACTACTTGCACTATCTGGAACATTGCTGCTAATGCTGTGTTTACACTGTTTTAATACCTCAGTAACTGCTGTGCTCACAGCATGTTAAATACTGCACCTTATTCCACAACCTCATGCTCAGAAATGAGTGCTGTGTCGGTGCTGCACTGTCCTGTCTGTTTACTGTGCCTAATGTCTGTTTAATTTATCATATTTACTGTACTGTTTCTAGCCTAATTCTTTGTTTGCACACTCATGTCTGCATGTTTGCACTTTGTACTTTTTGTTCCTTGTTGCACCGTGTTGTTCCTGGAGGAACGTAATTCCACTCCACTTTTTACTTGTACATAGATGGAATGACGATAAAAGCCTCTTGACTTGACTTGACTTGACTAGAGGTGTAAAGAGCTGAAGTTTCAGTGAACAGAACATCAGCAGTGAAAATCCCCAGACTGATCTGTCTGTCAGAGGGAAATCCCCAAATGACCTTGATGTTCATGATCATTTACATGATGCTACTCTGAACCCTCTGAAATCAGTCAAAAGAGGTTCTGCAATTAATAAATGAATAAATAAAAAAGATTTATTGTGTATCACATTTATACACATAATGCAGCCCACAATGTTTCACAGAGAGCCAAAAGATGAAAATGAGATGATATAAATGATGGAAAAGTAAACAAACAAAAGTAAAAGGTGGATCTTAAGGAATTAAATAAGTAAATATGTAGGGTACCGGCGCTTGAATCAGGCCTGTAGTGCAGATATAGTGCAGAGTTTACAGACCCAGCCAGTCTATGATGGTGTCAGGGAGAATAAACTCACACAGAAGAAGAAAAACCCCAGCAGCGTGTTTACTGTGACAGTGATGTTCAGTGATGAATCCAAGTTGAGCTACATTTCTCTATTTTAATGTAGTAAAGTCACTGTTTCTCTGCTGTTCACTGGGAGAGATGCAGCTCTGTGTTCTTGTTCAGATATTAAAAATGCAGATTAAAAGTTTTGGATACGTCACAGAAAGTGAGCAGACTGAGAACAGCAGCTCATATCACATCAAAACAGTCCATTAAATCCATGCATTCCTGTGAGTGCAGTTTGAAGAGTAGGCCACCCTGCCAGAATGCAAAGCTGAGGGAGGTCAAATCTGAATAATACATTATTGAAGTGTCCCTTTTAATGGACAGGAAATGAGTGTATAAATGGTTTCCAGCATCAAGCGTCAGTCTGAAAACCAAAACAATAACCGTCCTTGTTAGGAGCCAGAGTGGTGTGAGATGTTGATCATGAAGACGGTCAGGATGAGTGTAGATCAAACACAGTGTAACAAGCTCTACCTAAAACATGATGACTCTGAATCTAAATACAGAAGTTCTGTTTGCTTCTTAGGTTGTTTTTATTATTAAATGATCATCAGTCTGGGTCATGAACCGAACCGTTTATAGGTTCTTTCTATTGGGAGGAGTCTGTCCCAAACCCTAACCTCTAAATGTATAGTTCTCAAAATAATACTTCCTCTTAATGTATTATAAGATATTTTTAGATGTCTTTAAAGTCAGAAGATTTAGATTTATCATGAGTTTAATTTTTAATAAAAATGCTGCCTCACATTTTCATGTCACTATCCATTGTTTTGGAGTGTCCTGAGGTCTGAAAATCAGTGGAACATTAAGAACTGTCACTACCAAAACACATATTTTCGACAGTTAAGTAAAGTTTTTAATATTTTAATGAAAAATATGATGGGTTTGTGTGTGTGACTGTTCAAAGCTGTGCTTGCTAGCCATCCTTACTCAAAATTAGCGAAACACAACAGTCATTACTGATCATACTGGGTGACCAGCCCAACCAGCACCAGACCAGAAGAGAAATTTCCAACAGTTTATTACAAAGGAGCAAATTTTTCCTAAGCACCCAAACGTCCTTCCAATCCATGTTGTCAAATTTGTTATTCTAAATGTTAATACAAGCACTAATAAGAAGATACAAGAAAATACTTTTTTTTTCCCATAAAACTTCTATTTGAAACAATTGTGATTGTGTAAGAGTTTGCTAACAATACTAATTTCAAACTATTCTGGGTAAAATAAAGGTTTATTTTTGTATTTGATGACAAAACATTCAAGTATTTTTTTCTTATTGCAGCAATTATCAGCTAACAAAATATGCCAAATGATAAAACAGCATAAATACGGATGACAGGAATAGATTCTATAAAAATATGAAGATTTAAATAACAGTTAAATGATTGGGTAAAATGCGGGTGTGCTTGGGTAAAACGTGTAATGCAGAGATGTCTGTGTTTGTCTGTAAAGCCTCAGTATGGAAGATGTTTTGTTATTCCGGTCAGCTGGCAGAGTTGTTTCATCTTTCAGGGGTGTTTTTTCCTCCTCTAGTAAACAAGTCTGAAAACATACATTTGAAACCAACTTCACTTTCCAGCTTGTCTCTGAAGCAGGTAATCATTTTTACGGTTTAGGCATAACAGATCACACTGTCAGTGGAGAGTTTCTAACTGATAAATGAAAACACACTCAGCTTTCAGCAGCTCCTCTTTAAAATGATTCATAGATATTACCCAGTAAATTTACAATGTCCAGCTATTTCATTAAGTGCACCTCCTTGTTTCTACACTCATTGTCCATTGTATCAGCTCCACTGACCATATAGGAGCACTTTGTAGTTCTACAGTTATAGACTGTAGTCCATCTGTTTCTCTGATACTTTGTTAGCCCCCTTTTACCCTGTTCTTCAGTGGTCAGGACCCCCATGGACCCCCACAGAGCAGGTACTATTTGGGTGGTGGGTCATTCTCAGCACTGCAGTAACCCTGACGTGGTGGTGGTGTGTTAGTGTGTGTCACGCTGGTGTGAGTGGATCAGACACAGCAGTGTCTGATAACAGCACAATAACAGGATATTGTTTTTTAATGGAAGTTTTATGAAGAAAATATATATTTTCTATGTACCACAAAATAATGTTAGAGTTTTTAGTGCAATTCCTGATGGTGTGGGAATTCTGCTTTTTAAGATTCTTCCTCTCTTCATCTACCAGTGTTATTCGGTGTACACAACAAACATTTCACCCATGAGAAAATTAGTACTGTTTGTAGTCGTTTTTAGAAAGACTAATTTGGTGCTTATAAAGAATTTGGTCTTTTGCACTAAACTGGTGGAAGTCACTGTTCAGATTATTCATAAATGTGACCCAGGAAATTATAGATTAGATAAAGATTCAGAAATTTAACTGTTTTTATTTTGATAATCTTCATAAACAATGAAATGCTGTCAGGATTTCTGAAGACATGTAATGTGAAATATTCACTCAGCCAATGAGCTGATCTGCTCACCAACCAACCAACCAGAATTCGGTATCAGCGAGGCCAGTTTTAATACCCCAAATCTGATTTTTAATGGAATACAAATTTCTTCACAAATGAAACGTCTATTTCTTCGTTTTTAGCCGTTTAGCTCCACTCACCCCTGTTCATTTAAGACTCTCTGGCGCCATCTGGCGTTTTTCAGTCGTATCTTTGATATAACGGGACAGCTAGGAAGCGGCCTTTATCACCGACTCCGCTCGCACCACCGCTTTTATTCTTGCGGCATTTCTGTCTTTTTCGGTGACGCTGCAGCTTCGAGTAATCGGACTTTTTCACCGTTTCACTTTATCCTCCAAATATTGTCAGTTTATTCTTGTAACTTCACGCCTTTATTATCGAAATATTACAATTTATTCTCGAAATATCACAATTTTATTCTAAAATCTAGAGCAGAAGGGAAAGTTAAAAATAAGTTTAATCGAAATGTTTATCAAAATCTTAGTTTCAAGCTATTTGCATTTAATTTCCATCTACAATTAAAGGTTAAAAAAGGTAATAGGATTGTGAATTTAGCCCTAAATAAGCAGCTTTCAGGAGCGGTTAGCTGGACACATGTTGCCCATCGAGCTTTACTCAGGCAGCCTAATCAGTGTTTTGTGTGTAAATTGAGAAAACAGAATGAGAACACTGACCTGTCTGGTGGTCATTGTGCAGAAAACAACAAGATGATGCAAATTCATCTTTATATCACAATAAATGGAATGTTCTGTTTTTTTAGATTAAATGAATTGATGAGTAAAAATCATTCTTTTTACATTAAATTGATTGTAATGAACCAAGTAGCGCTGTAATTATGGATCTACTGGAAGATTTGATTGAATATATCTGATAGAGAAGTTCAGTGTCAGTGAGGTGGATCAGGCCCAAATCACCACAGTAAAGTGGATACGGACAGTTTGTTTTTGCGCATTTAACCACTAATTTTACATTTTTAATTTTTAATTTTATTTTAAGTTCAGATCCCTTCACCCTACAACAGTCAGGTTATTGCTTTTTAAAAGGTGATGGAACATGAGCTGAACTCTGTTCATGGAAAGTATCCATTAGTAGATTCTGTCTGCGTTTTTCAGGTGTTTTAATAAAGCTAAATTCACACGTTTATTCATATCAGATCGAGAGTAAACTGCCATTTTAGCTCATGATGTCACTAAATATTTCTATGGGCAGATCTAGCTGTGGATCCACATGGCTAAGCCAGCAGGCCAATGCCTGGTTAACTGTAGGAAGACTGGTGCAGTGCTGCATAGGCAGTGAGTGATGGTGGGGAGGTCCATGGTGTCATGAGAATACAGAACCAACATTACTGAACAAGTCACAATAATAATAAAAAGGGTGAGAAAATGAAATGACAAGAAGTAAATAAAAACTAATAAACAAACAGATTCAGATATTTATCATCATCGTACACATGAAGATCCTGCTTGTCTGAGCTACATAAAAACATACAGTTTAATGCTCTGAACACTAGATGGCGCACTAAACCATGGTAAGTGCATGCCACCCTGTGTTTGATCTACACCAGGGCTGGGATCCACTGTTTTAGTGCACTGATGACGGATTGATCATTTCAGTCTTCAGCTGGAGCAGCTAAACTTTATCTCCTCTGTCGTACAATTACCACTAACACCACAACCACCGCTAGAAGTACAACCACCATCAGTGCAAAAACCCACACTGGAACAGCAGCTCCTCTATCTGTGTCCAGATCTGGATGGTCATCTACGACACAAAACACAGGTTTGTAATACAGTGAGTTTAACTAAACACCACCATTAAAGCTGATTTCTGATTGGATAAACAGAAATCATGTAATAACATACCATTTAATTCACTTCCACCTGCTGACCCCACAGTCACTGTGTAGATATGAATGACCTCTTCATTCTTTTTGTCCATTACAGTATAAACTCCACTATCAGATGGAGTCACTGCTCTCAGCTCAAGAGCAGCCGATACTCTTTGTTTGTATTCAGGATCACACTGTAGTGACCGTCCATCCACTGCACAGATCTGACCACTGGACAGTCCAGCTGAACCTGTCCTGTTATAAATCACCTCCACTTCCTCTGGAATGTCCAAATCCAGGACCAGAGATTCACCAGGGTGTATCCGAACTGAAGTACTCAGTGCTGAGAAAAAAAAGACAAACACAAAAAGGAGCTTCATTAATCTCAGTCCCTGTGCACCACTGTGTGTGTGTGTGTGTGTGTGTGTGTGTGTGTGTGTGTGTGTGTGTAATAAGGTCTGGTGTACCACAAATGACACTATAAAACTGCAGCAGTGGTGTTTGAATGTGCCGTGAGCTGATACTGTGTGTGTGTGTGCACCTAAACCACTGGGGTTATATTAGTAATTTACAGAGAAGAAAACAGATGGACACTTACGCTCAATAAGTAGCTGAACATCACAGATGTCTTCACCATCACAGTCACATGTGTACCAGCCTCTCTTAGTGAAATCAGCGTCAGTGATGGTGAGAGAGAGATTCCCCTTCAGGTACTGATCATGGATCATCTGATATCCCTCCTTCACTGATCTACATGAAGTCTGATCACACTCAGCCAGAACATCAGTGGGTTTATGGAACACAGACCATCTGACCAAACCAGAGCATCTCTCAGAGCAGGACAGAGTAGCAGAGTCATGAAGCTTCACCTTCACTGAAGGAACAGCTGACAATATCTCTGAAAGAGAAATAAAGACCAAAGGAGTAAAAATCAGCATAAAACAATAACTGTCCAACTTCAACACAAGTTCCTGCTGTTAGAAGAGCAGAAAATTTTAAATGCAGCATTTTAACTAGTTTAAATGAAATTAAGTGAGGATAAAATATGTATATTATATCATTATTATGGATAATACAATATTACCCATATAATATGAATTATAATGCAGTGTTACATATAACAATCTCATTCCTATTTACCAAAGTCAAAGTAAAATATACAATAAAGTCTTTAATAAGATGATAAAGGAGTCACAGTGCAGATCTTACCAGCAGAGAATGCAGAGATGAGTAAGATCAGCATACAGAGAGCAGAACTGCAGGACTGCATGACTGACCTACAGACACACACACCATCAGTACTGACCAGAAGAGGAGAGAGAGAAGAGAGAAAGAGAGAACAGAACTGACCTACAGACACACCATCAATACTGACCAGGAGAGGAGAGAGAGAAGAGAGAAAAAGAGAACAGAACTGACCTACAGACACACACACACACCATCAGTACTGACCAGGAGAGAGAGAAGAGAGAAAGAGAGAACAGAACTGACCTACAGACACACACACCATCAGTACTGACCAGGAGAGGAGAGAGAGAAGAGAGAAAAAGAGAGAAGAACTGACCTACACACACACCATCAGTACTGACCAGGAGAGGAGAGAGAGAAGAGAGAAAGAGAGAACAGAACTGACCTACAGACTCGATACTCAATGTGTCACCATATTTATTTTTTTTCTGATATCTGATAAGTCAGCACAGATAAAGCAGCACCACAATTATAAAATTCTATTAAAACTATGAACTCAACATCTCTAATTCAGCTTTTTACACACTGCACTACACAGAGTTTTTAAAGGGAACCCTGACTGTTCAGACATACAGGCCTCAATATGGCGTACATGTACAAAACCATACAAATATATTGTATAAACCAAGCAAAATACTGTACGTCCTTTCGGGCTTCCTTAAATGGTTATTAACCAGAGATCTGAAGTTGAAAAACCTAGCAGAAAATCCCAAGTTTATTGGACCGTTAAGTTATTAAGACAAATCACACCTGTATTATTTTTTAAATATTCATGGTAATAAAGTTTTTAATTATTAATCCCTGTATTAACTTAATGTGGGTAAGAGTTATACATAATACTGCCATATTTGGACAAGATTATTTATTGATGGATGGCTCTATCACTAAACAATCAGAAATACTGCTGTACACAAAGACAGCACCTACAACAACAACAACAATAATGCATACTTTCTGGTCGTTCTTAAGCACTGAAATACCACCAGACGTCAAAGCTCCACCTCTGAGACCAAACCAGTAAGTAGATTCACTGCGACTGTAGCGCCATTTTCAAACACCAAGGGACACATGATTTTCACAGACTGCGGCAGATCTGCACAGTACTTCCTGAAAAACAGACTCCACATGCTTTAGAGCGTCTATTCCAGACGTAACATCACAGTGCAGCTCCAGAGGACTTTATAGACACTACAGAGAAGAATTGAGGGAAAGAACTGTGCTTCATTTCACTGATACAGAATCTGTCACTCAGTGCGCTGTAACCCAACCGTGAACCGCAGCGGACTACAGTTCAGTTTGGTTCAGTTCAGTTCAGTTGGTGTCATGTCAGATAAAGAGACAGATGTTACAGCACATCTGTTTGGGGTGTTACTCATTAAAAGGAAATGTGTAATATTCAGACAAATACTATTTTGATTTTTTTAAATGGTCATGCTTAATAATAATAGTAATTATTATTATTTTTTTTATTATTATTATTGTTGTTGTTGTTGTTGTTGTTTATGGGCGATCATTGATAAGGGTGATACTGAGTTTTGAACACACGTTCAGAAACAACCAACTACTGTTTGGGCCTGCTGTGCACTCAAGTAGAGGTGGGTTGTTCAAAGAATAGTTTGATTGGTCCACATCAAACATGTAGGTGTGAGACATGAAGTGCCAGGATAACAAAGCAATAACTCGATAGTAGACATGCATATCAAGTGTGAAACTTGAGTATGGATAATTTTCAGATATTAAATATGAATATGAATATTCAAACCTATAAATCAAAACAATCCACATAATGTAAAAGAATAAACACTATTGCTCTAGAAAATGAAGGCCAAATGGAACCTGTGTTTGTAGAGAACAGCCAGAACTGAGCTTGTTAGCTGCTCAGTGCTATCAGCAGTGCTCAGTACTTCTACACCATAACACGTGAAACAGGGTGGACACTGATCCTGTTTTTGAGGCTTAAACTGTTGTAAAATATTGACTCTGTACTGCCAGTTTTTCACATGCAGTGTTCAGGTAGACAAACCACTTGTTTCGCTGGTCATAGTTTGAGATACTTTTATTAAATCTGTAAATATACAGTATGAGTTCTCTATTAAACCAAGCAAAGCTTCTTAGTTGAAGTGGCCGAGCTGTAGCACATCCTATTTGTTTCTGGCAGGATAAGTGTAGTTAGCTTTTCTTCTCAGTTCCTCATAATGTTTCGCTATCCCCAAAGTTTTCACAAGAGTGAGCAGTTCCTCGTGGTTCTTCACCATAATAACCATGTCCTTTTTTGAGAAACTAAGTAGGAACCTCACTGTCACATTCAGACGTATTTTGACACAGATTGAGTGCAAAAACCTGCAACTCTAAATGTTCACTAGATGTTTTAAAAGATGTCTCAGTGGCGACACTTAGAGGACATTAAGCAGACATACATGGTCCACCCATTCTTGCAGAAATAGTTTAATTTACTGAGCTGAATGTATAATACCTTAATAGCTAATACTACAGTATGTGAGCTAAAGGGAGGTGAAACATGCTAATAAGTGAAATCTTGCGTTTTCCATAATAACATGGTGACGTTGTCTGATGGGAAGTTTGTACTGTTTATAAAACACTCTGGTGTTTAATCGTCAATGTATTATACTACCAATGCAACTAATAATGAAGATATGAAATATTATTATTATTATTATTTTATTATTATTATTATTATTGTTATTATTATTATTATTATTATTATTATTATTATTATTATTATTGAATTGCTAACAAACATATATTAAGATGCACTTAAATGTATGTAAATTTATAACTTACTTAGAAACAAACAAGAGATACCCCCCCATATTTTATTATGCACAGTTTGAGAGCAGGAGACGTTCAAACATACGTAGTGCACTACGTAGAGAGTGTGGAGCCATTTGAGATTCAGCCCCAGATTTTACTTTTTCCCCTTGTTTAGTGGTGTTGAATGTCAAATTATATTTTTCTCCCTTGCATAATTAACCCTGGATAATGGTATAAATCCTGATGTAGTGCTTAATTATGTGTTTTAACTGATTAAAATCTCAATTATACAAGCGGTAGTAGCCCGTCATGTTTATTATTTGTTTTGTTAAAAAGAAACTATTTGACCATTTGACTATTTCCACTTTGCTATAACCTAACCTTAATTAATTTAAATAAAGGTTGAGTTATATCTATTTTTTTTTTAAATAAACATTAGTAAATAAAGCATTCATTAGATGAAGTTGTGTTCCAGCAGTAATATGTGTTGTATACTCACAGTTTGTGCTGTTGGAGTAAGGTCTGAATACACTGAGATGTTGTAGAAATGCTATCCTGAGTGAGGTCTGAGGAATCTGTTCTCGTTTAAAAGGTGAACTGAGTGCTGGAAAGATGTACTTTGTATGGTTAGTATGGGGCATGAAGAGGAAGTGGTTACAGCTCTAGCTCTGTATCTGCTGCCTTTAGGAATCTTTAAGAGTTACTGACAGCCCCAAAGTTCCCCAGTTTCCCAGAAAAGGGCAGTGCTGACCAGCACTCACAAGACCCAAATATGACAATACTGTACACTTTCTAACAAATAAGACTATATATGATTTTAATTTAGTCTCTGCTTTGTTCTGTACACTCTATGTGCAAACAGAACATCCAGTCCTCAGGCAGCATTAGCATCTAAGCAACCATAGAAGAATCACTAGTATACAGTCAGGCCTACACATGCAAATATTACAGTCTCTGCTGGTGTTTGAAAGAGACACAACATATAAATTATGGCTGTAAATGGTAAGACAGCACACAGTATGTACTTTACATCACTTTTTAAAGTGCTGCTCTTAAAATGTTTACAAAAAATTATATGATAATGATCATGAGCTCTATGATAATTAATGGTAACACAATGTAAATGGCTCATCAGTTTAACCTAAAAAAATACTCAATGTAGTAACAAGTAAGTGAACTAGTTTTATTCAACCTTAATAAATACTTTGAATGAACGATTCTTTCAATTCAGAAATAATTGAATGATTCAGAGACATTTTTGAGCCAATTAAAACTATTTAAACTGTTTATTATTGCATGAAATATTTTGTAGATTAGCATATGTGGTGTAAAAAAGAGCAGATAGCAGAGTGGCTATTTGTTTTTCCTTTTACACACCACATTTTCTTAGAGAACATTTGGTTGCTTCGGAGAAGCGTAATGTTCCATTTCCTCTTTAGCCAGTTTCTGTTCTCAACTGGAGATCTAACCAAACCTACCCACTGTGCACATGATGTTGAGGGCTGCAGGCCTAAACCAAACAAAAACAAATAGAAACAAAGAAAAATAAGATCACAGTAACTTCAAGATATTCTAACTACCACAGAGGCTGAATGTTCCACACTCTTTCCAAAACCACTATCAGCAATTAGTGTCTCAGCTAAAACAAAGAAAAATATAGAAGAAAAAGAAGAGAAACAGTGGCCTACAGACACCCCAGCCTTGAACCTCTGAAAAGAATATAAAAACACATGGCTTTAATCTTTAATAAACAGCATGCAAAGAATGTTAAAAAGTCACCATACATTATCTTAACTGACAGTAATAGGTACACATTCTACCATAAGTTAAAAAAAAAACTAAATCCTCAGCCCATGCCTCAGTAAACTTTACATGCTTCTCAGACTGCTGTGGTGAGCGCAGCCGAGTTTCATTAGTTTCATTAACTTATGAAAAGACTTAAAAACTGCTGCCACATCCTTTGTTTAACTGGAGAGGTCCGGATAGTAGGAGACGAGGTCTGAGGACGAAACCTGGCATTCAACTACTTTATTTAGGCCAACTAGAGAACAGACTCAGGCATAGCAAGGCAGACAGGCCCTGGGACAAATGAACCCATGTAGAAATATAAAATCACGTTTAAATCTACACACAGTGGAATAATCCTACTTCAAGCGTAAACATACTGGTACAGAGTTACAGTATAATGGATAAAAAGTAAATATTTTAGTGCAGTAACTCTGCATCACCTAGACACTCTGCTCTTGGAGCATACGTCATCAAATGGAGCGTAGAGTTAGTTTAGACAGGCCAAGTCAAGCTCAGACCCCAATCTGATTTAGCTGATTTCAATCATATTTGACTGTCCTAAAGAAAAAAGTGTTACAGATGACTGACTGTTGGACTTGGTCCACAGCTCAGGGAGGTTTAATGCTTCGTATATCAGGTTACGCATCTTTTGCATTAGCCCTGCCAGTAGTAGCTGCATCACCCTGGCTAATAACTCTACTATGTGGTGGTGTCAGTTGTCAAAGTCATTGTTTGTATGACATTGGCAAAGCATTTCTGATGGTCATGGTCTAAATATACAAAAATGTAAATAAGGATAAATGGTGTGTTGTTGGACACACAGTACGTGTAAATGGGGCAGCAGTAGTCATCAGTAAGGAGGAAACGCTGGGTGGTAGAACCTTTGAAGCTGCCAGCTTTGTGCAAATATGATGTCATCATGTGCATGTTCATACTGGGCCTAAGAATAATTCAAGTATATTTCTAATTCTAATGTTCATTGTTGCTTGAACCACCACTATATACTCTATTAGAAAGACCAAATAGATCTGCTTTTGATTATTAGGGCTTGAAGAATGCTTTGTGGAAGCTGTTTGTTTACGTCTGCAAACTAGTGGTTGACTGATTATCAGCCTGACTGATAACTGAAGCAGATATTCAGCGTTTTTACAGTTATCAGAATCCACATATGAACCTGCTTGATGATAAAAGTGCCACCTAACATAACACAATGAAAACAAAACACACTTCTGTAGTCTGGCCCAATGTTCCACCCACAGCGTTAGTGGATTGGCCATCTGTCGAGTAAAACCACTCCCCTGAAATCTCATTGGCTACCCCAGATGCCACTTTTAAATTTCTGCCACATCATTGGCTTCCAATGGGAGGACAGTTGTTTTGCTATCAACAGAACGATATAATTGCGCTCACTCTATCCTAACGTGACACACGCGTGCAGCTCAAGGCCTGTCTGAAACATCACATCAGTTTGGTGAGAGTGAGGGTTCTGTGTGTGGAGCAGACACACTGTTCCAAAGATTCCACTGCTCTGCTAAAACTAGACGGGATGTTCCACACAATCATGCAGCGCAGAACACGTCTGATACATTCAGCACATCCAGTTACTGCTTGTTAGCACATGAAATACATTTTTACAAAGTAGTAGTCCACAATCCAGACCAGGCCTTCTGACTGCCCCCGTTTCATAACAGAAAAGAACCAAAGAAGCCACCCAGCATGTCTTGCTTTGCAGTGTTCGGTGTTTGTTTGCTCTACTTATTCTTATTTCTGTTCTGATTGACTTACTGAGAACTTTGTGTTTTGACCCTTTTAGATTTAGCCCAGCCCCTTTTAACCTGGTGGCTTTGCGTGTACTATTGTACAGATGTAAATTTAAGGTCATGAAATGTCTTGGATTGTCTTATTTTGAGGTATTCACTGTAGCACTGTACAGAGACATTTTAACGGATCACTGTCATCTACATTAAGCAGATCTGTTTCAGTTTCTTGTTTCTTATTTTGAACTCTGTTTAAGCCACTGTATTGATACACACAACCACAGGACCGATTCTCGATTTCAGAAGATGAAAGAAGATCTCAATGACTAGACTGTGAAACTGGAAAGTAAAGATATTGATATGTTTGGAATATTACGCTTTGAGTGTTATTACGTGAGAGGCATCAGCTAAAAACAAAATGGTTAAACTTGTCATTTCAAACTGACGTAAGCAGAAAAGCTGAGAGAAGGTAGCAGCTGGCTTTATGAAATCATAGTACACGGTATGTTTATAAATTCTTTTCCAACACAAATACTGCAAAAATATTCAGTCTATATCACAGTGTATACCCGTATGCACATATCTGGAATAAGTGATTTCACAGCAGAATATTAAAGTATGTACATCAGAGTGCATCACAAACCTGTATAAAAAATCAGTCTTAGAATGCCTCATTAGACACAACTGAATATGGTGTGGCATTAAGTGACACCAACCCCATAATTAAACTGTAAGATAATCATGTTTGGACACATGACTCTGCTGGAACCTTTTGGAGTATTGCTCATTGCTCAGATGAATATTTATATTTTATATGGAGTGCTATTTTAATTAATTTCAAGTTGTCATTTTTTATATGTTATGTTCACATGGCATACGAGCAGTGCATACTGTACTGGAAAACATGCATAAAAATGTGCAGAAAGTGTGGACCCATGGAAATGGGCACCCTGATCTCTTTTAATTCACTTTAGTTTATTTACTGATGTGTTTGTCAGACAGTATCAGCTGTAAATGAGCCAGTGTTACAGACTTTAATAGAACATGCTGAAAGGCTAAAAGTACGTCTCCTTACACTGTACACACATGTTGGTGTTCTGTGTAATAAATAAACACTCTAATTAGACAAGAAGCAGTGAGCAAAATTTTAATATGACATAAATTCGATCATTTTTTTATTTCCTTAAAATAAGACCAAACTTTAGATTTAGTCTAGTTAGGATGTTTGTGTCATGCTGTTTTCTTATCTGGAGTTTATGATGAGATTATGAAGGTAGGAGCTGTTATTCTGGAATAGCTACTGTACTGAATTCAGTCCCTACTGAAGTCGTCATGGAGACTAAAAAGATCAGATTTCAGAGTTTAGAAGTTTCTTTCTTTTTTTGTGGAAAATCTCTACCAAGCAGAAAGTTGGGCACCACCAACTCTGCTGCCTGGAGGACACTGAATTAACACCAAGCAGCTTTTAAACGTAAAAAAGTAATTGACCAGGTTAAATTGAAATTTTGAATGAAACATTAAAATAACAGAGGAATAATGTGTGTTTGCATTAGTTAACTTATGATTTGAACATCACTGAACTCAACAGTAACCCAGTTACTCACTTCAGGAAGTGTAAAGCTGCTGAAGCTCTTGTGCACTCTTACTATTTTAGGATTGTCTTCTGGAATTCCCCTCCAGAGTTTTCACGCCATAATTAGAGCCCTGCGGCTTATTAGACAGCCTGATCACAGTCAGTTTCGGCAGGTTTAGTTCAAACCTGACCACCTGACCTTTACTGAGATGGAGAGATGGGTGATAGAAATAGAGATAAAACTACACTAATTAAAAAAAGTAGTTTTTTAAATACTATAGAAAAATAGTTTTTCCTTCTACCAAGTGAAACTGTGTTAAAATGAACATTTAACTGAGCTTCTTAAAATAAATGAACAGAAAAGATTACTGATCTCTGAACTCACATTTAGAGGTTCAATGAACTCGACATTTTACAACACAACTGTTTTTTACAGTATTAGAAACCTGTTGAAGTGTCACTGCTCCCTCAGTCAT